AAAAATTTTGTTATAGTTATGATTAATTGTGAACAGAACTTCCCCTTGTCCAATTCGGTCTGTAATCATAACTATAACAAAATTCTCAAATCTGATTGATCAAAATTTGGAATGGGATACCTCAAATTCTTAAAGAAAGACCGAAAAAAGCTTTTAAAAGATCACTAAAAGAAATGCTATTGATTTTCTTGAAACTGAAGACTCCTATATTGATGTGGATACGATCATCGTGAAAATGAAAAAGTAATTCTCTTGTCCTTTATTTTCATTTTATTTTAAAAATAAAATAAAATGAAAATAAAGGACAAGAGAATTACTTTTTCATTTTCACGATGATTGTATCAACATCAATATAAGAGTCTTCAGTTTCAAGGTAATCGAGAAGCATTTCTTTTAAGCGTCACAATTGGCTTTGGTTTTACTTCTGATTGGATGAAAAGGTGGCGCGAATCTTTTAAGCCAATCGCATCGTGTAGAAAGTGCAAAACCAATTACTTTTCGACACTCAAATGAAAACCGCTCTATGAAAGGGTATGGAAATCTGTCATTTGGGTCTGTAAAAGGACCCAAAAGGGCTAACAGATGAATTTCATGGCTGTGAAATAGTCGAGAAAACGTTCTGGTGTTGTGATGGAAAGTTCTAAATCAAGGTATGTCAACATGTGTCAAGGGGTAACTATCTGTCAATAGAAGGTATACGAAAGGGGTAAATGGTTGGACCTCGGGACGGAGCCTCCCGATCATGCCCGTATAAGACTTTGCTGAGTACCTGTCCGTGGGTAGAAGGAACCTTTAGATTGGAATACAAGTAGGGAATTCAATGCATGCAGGACTTCAAACTAAGTTCGTATGCCTCAAATAATTAATTATCACACCATCTTATCAATCTCTTAATGGTCTGGTCAACAACTAGAAAGAGTGATAGTTTGGAAGATACAACTAGCACCAAACTCAGACGTTCTACACGATCTCACATTCTTAGTCAAATCTTAGGATCTCTAGTGTTGCTCGACGAGTACAAGCAGGCCCCTGAGGTAAACTTTCGCCCCCTCCATCAGGGCTCGGAGAGAGATAGCTATGAAAAAAAAACAGTCTATTTTTACGCGTATTTAATCTGGCTAACCGTGCACAAGCTTTTTAGATAGAGGGAAGCAACGCGAAGTAGAGAGCGGAACGGAAAAAGCCACGGAACCGGAGGAAGTTCCCCGGCTTCCCTTTTCTGTCTATTCCGCTCCCCGCCTCTTCATGCCTTCCCCACTATCTGAACCCCTGGAACAGGCTACCCGAACAAATATTCACCTCGCTTTTTCCTCAGGGATAGACAAGGGGTAGTATGGGCAAGGAGTCAGTCTGTTCCAGACTAAAAGTTAACGGGGAACAGGACAAAATAAAGAGAGAGAGGTGTGAAGAAAAACTGAATCGAAGAAAGCAAGGAAAAACGGGGAGGCACCACTATCAGCACGCCTGAAACACGGCTAAGAGGTTGCCTCCTATGCTCCTTTAAAAAGAAATTGCAGTAGCCTGCGTAGCAGGCGCTTGGAAGTAGTGGGCGCAAGAAAGAATGCTATGCAGGCTAAAATCTTGGAGTTGCGTTGGTGACTAATAACTAGGAGGCAGGTGTATCGCAAAAACTTTCCCTATTTCTTTATCAAGGAAAGAGTTCGTTTGAAGGTATCTGTGTGTCCATGCGTTCCAGATCCAGCATGAAAATTGGAATTGTTAACTTTGGCACTTGAGGGGAAGGGAATACTGGAGAACCTCGCCGGAGAAAAAACAATCGCCAATTGCTCTCGCCAATGCACCATTCCTGCTCGTCAAAGAACCAAAAACAAACTGAGAGAGGCACAACAAACATTCCCAATGTGGTAATAAACAATTCTCGCCGTGCAATGGAGTAAGCAAGGGCACCAGTGCCTTAAAGGATTTAACCACTGTTAACGACGTAAGCAGCAAAAGAGAGCAGAAGTAGTTACCATGGTAGCAAAATTTCTGGATCTCAATAAACCATGGTCGGGTCAATTTAGGTTTGTGGGAAACTGCCCACTCATCCCTCCCCTAAGTCATTATGTTGCCCTAAGTGAGAAGTAAGTGTTAATGTTAGATTAGGGGAGGGGTAGGTGGGAAGTTTTCCAGAAACTTAAACTGATCCCCTTGGTCATGCAAATATGGCAGAAACAAAACGAAAAAGTTGACATGTTTAACTTTCTTGTGCATGATTGCACTCAGAAACAAAACGGTAGCCCGTACTTCTCTTCAATGGCTCGACAATGCAGATGGTCGTCTCTATCGGGAAAGAATGTTGAGATCCAGAAATTTTGCTACCATGGTGACGTTACGTCACACTTCTCCTCTCCATACAACAGAAATAAAGTGCCGGAATTTATCAAAACAAACGTTTATTCTCGTTATTTATTTACAATTTTATTTTACACCTAGTTTCTTATATCTTCATGCTAGACAGTAACTTGCTATCGTTTTACAAACGTAACTATCCGAACTTCAAAATGAAGTACATTCTACTTGTTAAGGCAAATCGCAAAGTGAAAAATCGAGTAATTAGACAGAACATACGTAATAAAGATTTGAACTGAATAATCACAGAGCATGCGCGGGAGTTCAGTCCACAACTTAACGTTTATAGAGTTCTAATAAGGTAACTTGCAATGATATTGTCATTGTGAGCGAGGTAAGTTGCTCGATACTACATGTTTATCGTGTTCCAGGGTATTTGTATCTTCCTGAACATAACATAACAAAGGCCGTTGTTCCTAAGTGATATTTCATGAGTCATTAAGGATAAGTGAACTGAATAATCAGAGAGCATGCGCAGGAGTTCAGTCCACAAGCTTGAGGGTTATAGAGTTCTTGTAAGGTAATATAACTTGCAATGATATTTTCTTTGTGAGCGAAATAAGTTGCTCGATACTACATTTTTATCGTGTTCCAGGGTATTTGTATCTTACTGAACATAACATAAGAAGGGCCGTTAATCCTAAGTGATATTTCATGAGTCATTAAGGATGAGTGGCCTCTATACGTAAATACGGTGAGTAGGTATCTTAAATTCTTGCTATTTAGAGCTCTTTCTATTTATAAAGTGTCAATTCTTGGCGCAAAATTCTGCACTGAGAGTTATTTTAGTCTGGGCGTTGTCACTTTGACGGCTTTAAAGCAGTGAAACATCAATTACACACATGTCAAATAATATTTGATTGAGTAATGGGGGGTACAAGTGTTTCACGGAGTTTTTCCGGTCTTATTTTTACAGTTTAGAAAACAATTCGCGCGTGAAATAGCCACAACAACTGTGCAAAAATAATCGAGGCTAACTGTCATTTCCAGTATCTTTAATTTGAACGGACACTATTGGTTTAAATTCCACAGTTGACGAAGCTGTTCAACAGAGACTGGGAGGGTTCAACCTGCTTTTTATAGAAAAACCTCTCATATTCTTCCAAATTACTAAAAATGATGCTTAATAAGTGCGCCAGGGCTTAGTCATTAAATACCTTCTCAATATCCTTGTTACTTTTAATGTCAAACAATGCAAGAGATACAACTGCAATATACACACGACATGTGCAATATTTTTTACTTAACTCGGCAGTTAATCACAAAAATATCTGTTCTCTTCATAAAAATGTACATTGTCACGAAGCTAAACCAAGACACCAAGACATACATATCATTCACTTTCAGGCTGAAAAAGTAATCTACAACTCATTTGATTCTACTGGTGCCACAAAACAGACAAAATAATTTCAATCGTACAACTAACTGACCGTTATGTTGCGCAAATCAAACAACTATGAAACTGTGGCAATTATAACACAAGATTGATGAAGGTTACTGAAACGTCGTTTTCTTTTACTAGCGAGGAAGGCTTAGCAATCAAGGCCAAGATACCAGACACTCAGATACACAAGCCTGAGCCATCAGAAAACTTTGGACCTAATGCTTGCGCTTTTTTGTGAATCCGTCACTAGCAAACATCGCCTGTATTTACTTGATTTTTGTAGCGAAATGACATTGGAATGTAGGATCTTTATCCCCCTCCCTCCCTTTCCCAAGGCAAAAGAAAAACGACTACGCTCCTCACCATCTAGATCAAGTAGAAAGCTCAAGTTAAATACGAGTACTTAATTTGTTAAAAATACTTTTATCTAGTGTAGTACGTTAAGGCCTTTGTCTAAATCTAACCACCTACAAACGTTGTGCACTCGTTTTTCTTCATCGTCTAAGCGATGCAAGTCTCTAGTCTACTCTTTTGTATTAGATCATTCTTAAAAATTAAACTCTTTCTACTTTATACATTACAAATTATAGTGTTACCTACACTTTTACACCTGAACATGGCTTAAGTGATTTTCATCAATTCACGACTTTTACAATATCCTTAAGCCTATAAAATATTTCGTGAAAAAAAAACGTAATCATACATATGTGCCTGTTTCTAAAAAGGTAAGCATTTCATGCAACTATCCGATAAGAGCATTTTGCGAAAAAAAAAAACGATTCCCGTTGGTTCGTGGTAAATTCTAACATTTTTCTTTCTTTTTCTTGGAAAGGAAACCTTGTCCCCAGGGTCTTTCACCTTACGTCCTAGAAGAAGAGAGACCCTGGAAACAACAACAACAACAAAACTCGCGCCACTTTCTCGACTAATCAGGAAAAAACCCAGAGCCACGTGACTTGCCATCACTAGTTTTCCCGCGCTGCGCGTATTTGCGATTGGCTTAATGGAGTTTTCTCGCCTGTTATGATTGGCCTGAGTAATTTCTTTGATAACCAATCCAGAGACTGTAGTACAAAATGATATGATGCTCTATTTTTGCCTCATTCTAAAATGTCAGAAATTACCTCGAACCTGATCATTCTTCACGCACCTTTTGTTGAACATTAAACAATAAATATATAAAACTAAATCCAGTTTTGCCCACTCTATTTTGTCTTTTATAGTTAACATATTTACACTTAATTTATGATCCAAGCGATCGCGTTCAGCCATCCCGCTTAAGCCATTCGTCTATCCTAAGTAACTTACAAGGCCTCCTGGCTGTAACATTTCTCCATGGTTCGTTACATGGGTGTCCACTAAGAGTTGTGTTGGTGGAAGAGGAGTTGCTTCGGACTATCTGCGGTGTTGACTGCGCGCCCTTTGCATGAAAATCTGGTTGAATGCCCTTCTGAAAAAAGAACAACAAGGAAATGTTAAACAGGAAAAACACTGAGAGTATCCTGTAATTAAAAGATGCTTCTTCACACGTTAACAGTGTGAGGTTTCCTACACGTAGAAGTACTTGAAAGTCACTTGAATTTTTCTATGACCTTCTCTTGAATATTTTAACCCAATACTCTCTAATCAGTATCGATAAATATTTTCTGCTGTTCTCCATACATTTTCTGCGTACTTATCTCCAATTGAACATTTGTTGTAACGTCAAAAATTGCAGCCGTTTTCAACAGTCTCTCGACTTTTGTTGCACGGACAATTCGATATTCATTGGAAAGATGTAAGGGAAAACGCACACCTTTCACCGTCGAATATTGATTTCTAAAGGTCAACTGATCAATGCGCAATAAGAGTTGTAAAAAAGTTACGAACATGAAAATGATCTATATACAATGTAAAAATTGAACTCGAATTAAGCACGGTCCTCAATTTTCTGAACAACCTCAAAGTAAAGTTTTAACTGAACGCAATAACAGAGACGATGTCAGTAATAAAGTGAAGATAAAAGAAAGCATCATAAACGACTTTTTTTCCTTCAGGTTTTTGACCACACCACTTTGTGATCGGTCTCTTCCTGTAGTATCGTTTGCTTTTCTACATTTTGCAAAACGATCGAGTTAAGAAATTTTTTATCTTCTAACATACTTTGAAACATGTTTTCCTGAGAGGAAAAATGGAACTGATGCCAGCGTAATTTCCTCCTTAAACCGGCGGAAGACCTGATTGACCTGGTTAACCACTGAAAAAACGGCACGTGCCGTCTTATGTAATTTGCGCGACGCGAGCTTGTTGAAAGGTATAGCTTCGCATGTTTTACGGAAATGAGTTCATTAGTGGTAAATATTGGAGGGGTCAGTTTGAAGTAAAATTTGCCAAAAATCTACCAAATACTTGAAAATTAAAAGGGCAGTTCCGCGGAAACGTACTGCAGGAAAAGTACAGTTGAACTATCATCACAGATCACGGAAGGAGTAAGCCGCTGAGAGCAGAATTGAATACCATGTTAAAAGGAAAATACTGACTTAAAAGAATATATTTTATAAGAATCTCGAGCCTGACTGAAATTTGCAAAATCTTTAGAATATGATAAGAATAAACCCCAAGGTTGAAGGGAATATAATTTTGTGTGTTGAAAATCTGTTGATACAATAAAATTATATGCCTAAATTAACCGTGAAACTATTCCTTTCTATTAACGGCAAAACTAGCCACCAAAAAGAAACTGAAAACAAACGTGCCATTGCTATTAACTGCAATTTATACCCCAAGTATATTCTTAAACGGAAAAGTCCGCAGAATGATACAAGAATATATGAATATTTTCAGCCTCAAGTCGGCAGAAAAAATAAGAATATTCAGCCTGGGCCGGAAAAACAACATTCTTATAAAAAGAAAAGAGCGTAAATGAAGCAGAAACAACCCAAAAATGCCATTTTAATTATTATTTAGAATGGTCAAATTGAACGGTACAACTTTTCTGTACAACCACTGACTGGGAAGCAAAGCCTGACAACAGAGAAGGGCTTGTTGTAATGAACTAATAATTGTCTGTTGATTCTCAGTAGTGTAATCAGAAGTTACTGTAAGGGTTTCCTTTGAACAGAGAAAGATCCTACCTGGAAAACATCTGCAACGCATGTAGTGGTAATTCCTTGTTTGTTATGCTTGATAAACGCGTCGGTGAAATCACTTCGCCAGGCAGGTTCCTCCAACGATGAGGACGAAATAGCCATGAGATTAGAAAATTGTTTCGGATGCCGTGTCATTCTAGTCTTCAGCTTTTCGATCAAAGCTCCAGAATAGCTGTAATCGGCCACGAGAAAGATACGTTTTGCTGAGCAGTTCTTGATATTATCCAAAAGATGCCTGGGTGAGTAGAGCTCAGAATCTTGCGTGATTCCGTCTCCATTGTCCCAGAACAAGAGAGAGCCATCGCCAGTTGATGGCCCCGTTAAGTAAAGAGTTAACGTGTCCACACAAGGCCCTGATCGACATATTTTCCTGATGTATTCCTTCACAACTGTTGAACTTTTCACTGGAAAGGATTTGGGCCCTTGATGACCGGCAACTAGGATAAGAGAACGCTTGATCAGTTGGTGAATAAACCAAATTCGTTAATCTACAATTACCCCATTCCGTTTTCACAACAAGGGCCACATGTAACACTTTTTTAAATATTTATAAAGGACACAGAATTTTTTCAGCTTAGCTAAAGTAAACCTTTAAACCACCTTGTAAAGATAACGAATAGCCCTACAACAAAGTACTGCTCAGTAGCATTCATTGCAACGGTGAAGAAGACTCGATGATTCTGGCTCGCATAAGTTTGTTAAGGTATGTTGTAGTTTTTTTATACAGCATGACTCTATAATGTCAAGTCAATACCTCCAAGACTAAGGACCCACGTAACATTAGAACAGCAGGAAATTCAACAGTTCGAGTCCCTAAAAATGATAATAAGACTTTTTCACACAATCGATGCAGGGACGATAACTTCACCCTTCGAAAAACTGTAACTGTTTGAGTCATCACTGAATCATGCCTACTGCGGGATCGTTGAAATTGTCTTCATTCTCGCGGCCATTTTCTCCCCAATATGATTTCCGTTTTTTTTGTTATTGCTACTCCTGGAGAAATCATCTTCAGTATTTTTCGATAATATTTGAAGGCTTTTTCTCTAAGGATGCGATTGCGAAACAGGCTTCTACTAGCAGGGAATTTGATTCAGGACTCTATTTGAAGATCTCGACTCATACTTCAGCGAGTTACTCTTCAATCTTTCCTCAGTCATTAGTGGTTAGTTTTTGAATTCTTACGTGAGGGCAAGAGAGGTTTTTGAGAAACCAAACATGTGTTAGGTCAGCTTCAAACTCGCCGAGAATAAGGTGAGAATAAGCGCTACCGTAATGGGAAAAAACTATCTCCAACTTAGAGTGAGTTGAAATGAAACTTTGAACAGAGGCCATGGTTTACAACCTTCTAAATTCTAAAATAAACTCCGATTTTGTTCAGTGTGTTCAAGAAGAATGTAGCCTTGTGGTGCGTGCTTTGAATAGCGATATGGAAAAATTTTTGCTGCGTGGTGGAATAACCTATTGTGTGAGTAATACCGTTAGTTAATCTTTTTTTCTAAGTTTACGGCCAAATCCTGTAGCAACAAAAGAGTGCAAAGAGGCTGCAATGATATGCAACTCAGTACGTGCTTGCAGGCCGAGGCGGTCAAAGATGATCTCAATTTACTTAATTAAACCTTTCAGTATAAAAAGCCTGACCTTGGAGCAAAAATAACAAATTCTAATTTAATAATAAAATAAAGGCTTCCGTTAAATACGGAAGAAGGCCACAAACTTGCCAGAATAGGCGTACGTGAAACTATAATTAATGAATTAGAATAATCCATCTTTCGGCTTCTCCAAATACAACTCACGGACGATTCTGCCGAAATTAGAGTAGTTATTTTGGAATGAACCAAGGATTAAGGCCGCGGTATTTTTAAACGTTATGTTTCATCCATTTTGTTTATTCTGGGGGTCAATTAAAATCTTAAAATAACATAGCACGTTTTCAGCCTGTTAGCTGCCGTCGAAGAGAAAAAGAGAGAGTTCCACGTGAGAAGAATGCGTATTAAAAAAAATTTCGCATACATTTCTTACTTGACACTCTTACTGGAAAGTTCCAAACATATCTGCCAGTCTACAACCTTACAGGAATCTACGAGAGCTCCAAAAGTCAAAAGCTTTTTAACAGATGAATGCAAAAAAATGCGGCTTCATTACATGGCGGCAAAGTGTAAAGACTTTTTTATTGTTAACAATCTCCACATGATTTTTTTTCTTCATCAAAATAAGAAAGACTCCAACTTACCCCACCTCTGAGCTCTCCTTAAGAACATGGAGTTTAATTTCTTTTTTCATTACAATATCGAAAGTTTCATGATTTGCTAATTCCACCTCATTGTTTTAAGAACGTTATTAAAAATACCACCCATTGCCTACTGTTTTGATTTCGAACCCAGTTTACAATTTTCGTGATTCTTTGTTTTAAGTCTGGAAAGTTTCAAAACTGTTATTAAGTTCTTCTAGCCTTTGTCGGAAGAAGCGGTGATTCGGTTTGCTGAATCGACCTGCTTTTCGATACTTTTTCAAAACAATTTATGCATGAAACTCAAAAACTACGGTTCAAGAAAGATGGATCAATTCACACAAAGAGAACAGTTTAAGGTTTAATGAAGTGATTGTAAAGATGTGTTAAGTCATTTAGTTTCGCAATTCTTCGCCGGTGTGTTAAAAAGAAGATGCGAAAGGACGAAGTCACAAAACGTTTTTAACAACCGATACGCGCTTGTGTCTTTAAGCGGTAAAGATGAAATGTGAATGTTTCGTAGATTTTCTTGGCAATTAAAAACCACTTTAATAAAGTGTTTTCTTATTCTAATAAGCGAAGTTGTTTTTATTTCGTCTAGCGAACAAACCGCTCGTTGAAATGTGAATATTACAGTGAAAGGTATCGGTTTCAAAATTAATTACCGCAGCACTTCGCCTATTTACAATTTAGCACATTAGGGATTTAAATCGAGCCGCTTATAACTACGACCCGTTGCGACAAATTATTAACGAATACCGAGCAAAACCGCATATAGGTGCATGTTGCATGAAAGCGGGGAAAAGTAACTCATGACCAACGCAACAAATCATTCTACCGGTGAAGCTGTCCCTAAGAATTACATATGGGATATGGAAAAGTTCGGTTATCGTTAAGAAACAGCAAATGTCATTAAGAACGGCGAACAAGCGAAAAATCTTTGACAATAAAAGGATTGTAGCTGCACTTATTAATGACTTTGACGAAGTTTCACCGACTGCAAAGTGAATTAAAAGTTTCAGCCTGTTCTCAAAATTAGGCATGCCGCCCGAGTAATTTTCTTTCGCCAAATAAATGATAAAGACAAACAGAAAAGAGAATCTTGTTACTTACGATCTTCTTTGCGGCCCTGCCCGAAAAAGGTTACGATGGATTCCTTTTTGTAACCCATGGTGTGATGCAGTAATTTCCAAACATTGCGGAGGTTGTTTCGGTACCGTGGACGGCTCGTGTCGCGGCTCCAGCCTCCAGTTACCAACACAGCATGATTACAGCGTTCGTACGTGCACCTCGATGGAGGAGTCGCGGATTTACATCGCGCGGAATTAGGGTTGCAAGGATGTCGGAAGGACTCCCGTGCTCTGCAGTTTGCAAACGTGAGAGTGTCGAGCTGAGGGCGGCAGTCTAAACGCTGTTTACGTAATTGGTCACCCTTTTCATAAACCAGCGGCAGGAAGTTGACCTCGCATTTGAATTGCTTTTGCAAACGGTCTGAACGGTTTATACAGTGGCGCTTTTCCACTCTTCTGATACACTCGTCACGGCCTGTAGAGAAAAAAAGTATACTAAGCACACCGATATATACGACATTCACTGCTTAGAGTTGCCAATTTGTCAATTTAATCGCTTTCTGCGAAATACACTGGAAACGTAGCAGGACTACTGATGAAACTTTTAACTCAGAGTCATATTATGGAACAAAATGTAGAGTTATTCTAACTTTTTAGGCTGTGGACAAAATAGTGTGACCATTTCAAATGAAACCTCTCCAGCGGAACTTTGAACGATAACATGTTTTTCAATATTTTACAACACTAAATTTGTTTTATTTTTTTATAAACATATTTCGCATCCCCTGGAGTTAAAGAGCTAAGAGAATGGTACACTGTAGTAGGATTTCATCGTTTCAGTTTAGAAGGTCGAGTAAAGAATCAATTTACATGAAAAATAGCATGTCTCAAGCCTATATTAAGAGAATGTACTTGCAATATCAGACCGCGAGTTTTAAACTATTTATCAAATTTTTCTACACTAAATAAACTTATGCGGCTTTTAAAATATCACTGCAAGTTGAAGTACAATATCACTTTCCACTTCAGTTTATGGTTCAGTTTCACAGATGTATCAGTTTTTGAGTTTTCCATTCAACCCACTCTCCGAGTCTAACGAGATACTTAACTGAGGGAGAGAGAAAGAGAAAGATTAAAAACTCTTCTAAATAAAAGTAATTGCGGAACGATATTGGGGCTGGAATGCCTACACCAGGTCACGCATATATTGTATCGCATATAGATCGGAGCAAGAGATAAATGTAATCAAGTGCGTATCCAAGATTACTGAAAAACCTACACTTACCAGTAAATACGTGCAAACCGTTCATACTTTTGTTGCAGACAGTTCGACTCACGTTGAAGTTGAGGAGAAAAATAAAAACGGTGTGGCCCAAGTTTGCGTCGGGGAAGGGATCTAGCACAAAAACAGCATCATAAGACTTGTTTTTTGAGGAGCCGGAAGTGAGGCGACGCTCTCTTCTATCAGGTAGAATGACGCGAAGTTTTCTTTGCGTTTCAGCAGTGTAAAGCATAATGTTCCTGGTATTGAGATTGCTGAAAATGGAATGATTGCACTTGGGCCCTCTTGAAAGACCCCAACAAGGATCCCTTTGAAGGAAGTCCAACGTAGAGCTGACGCGAGTATCCCAAGGGCTAGAAAAGTCCACCATTCCGTGGACAGACATGTCTTGTAAACTTGCGCTGTAGACAGCCAGTATCCAGAGGATCTTTACCACATGATCCATGTTTCTCTATCTTGTAGTGCAGGTTCCGCTCGCTTTCAACCCTAACAGTATTTGACAAATGCGGTGAGTCAGTCAGTTCTTCTTTATACTCAGCAATAACAATAAACAATTTAAATTTCCCACTGTGCTTTTGACGAAAGCGCAACTTTTCTCTCTACCGATCGATTACTTGATTCCACTGAGTGTTTTCCAGGGCGCATCGTGCATTTTAAAACTTTCCTATTACAAAATTAAAAAACGCAAGACGTGATTGGTCCGCGGCGTCTTCTAACACCGTGCTAATTATTTAGGCAATACGCGGTCATGTTGGGTCGGAGTAGCACTTAATCGTTTTTCTTTTTCACAGAAATTTGGACAAACTGGATCCAAATAATGGACTAGAATTAAGTGATACATAGATAATTTGTTACTAAAGGAAGAAAGAATGCCGACACAAGGCAGATGCGGTTTTTATTGTCCTTTACTTCTCTTAAACTTGCTGCGCGCTAAAGCGAAAGGGAGAAGATTCCCGCATGTTCAGCAAAATAGCTCAAACTTTGCCCCGGAAATTCAAACGTAGTATAATTTCTAGGGTTTATCACGCCCCCTGTGAAAAGCATTGGCAAAAAATAGTGTTGAAAAGCCAAACAGTAAGCGGCGTGCGCCCACGGTTTACAAAATCGGGGGATTACAAGACACTTTCCGAAAAGGAAGATAAAAAATCTCTCTAAAGGTCATCAACGAAATATTTTAAGTTGTTTAGAATGTTTGTGTTTGGAAAAGAATCGTTAACACTTCTCCCGCAAAGCTTCTTTTATGAAGGCGTGATGCTGGGGTATTGTCTTTGTTCGGTAAAGGAGCGGCATTTCTGCAAGTTGTCTGAAAAAGCCGCGCGAAAAATGATCTAACTAATTGAGGCAATGATACTACGGGCTGTTAATAATATTACATTCTTAAGTTGCCGAAAATGTAAACAATAGACGGCAAACTAGCGATATTTATTTTGCAGATGGGCTACTCTTTGAATTGAAGATTGAATATTTACACGGGAGTAGTTATTCGAATTCACGCACGTTTCAAGGGTGCTGCGCGACTCGTCGTTGAAATTCATTTGCGTTTAAGGAGTCGCTATTGCGTTAAACACCGTTGATGCGTATCGAAATAGTTGAATTTTTTCAAGGCGCGGAAAGTACTTCAAACACGGAAAACCGCATGCTTCAAGTGTATCCTCAAGTGGAGAGTACGACAAATGTCTCGCGTAAATCACAGCAATGAGACAGTCGGGGGTGGGGTAGTTTGTGTCGCTAAAACCGCTATGTTGGTCCGTTATTTCGGAAAACAGCAATTTTCGGTCCTCTGCATGTGAGCCTGATTAACCTCTTGTGGAGTTAAAGCCGTTGAAAAAGTAGCGACATGCCGCCTTTATCAATTTAGACTTTTGTAACAATCTAGTAATCGAGAGTTGAAAGATAACAGCATACACGTGAGCAAAAAACGCGTACTATTGACAATAAATACGTCACTGGTCATGTGCTCATGGAGTCGCGTGGGCCGACGTATCTCGAATCACGATCACGTCGCCGTTGGCGACATTCAATTTTTCCTTTACGGGAACAATTGAACAAATTTGATAATGCGTAATCAAAAAAGTAAAATCACTGATTGTCAATCATTCACGCTGTTATCCCATAACCAACTCTCGTGTTGACCGTTGGAATGTTCAGTCTATTAAGCGTAACGGTCATGGATATATTTTTCAATACATAATAAACTGAACATGACTTTCTGTCTATTGTTACAACCAACCCACGTCTTAAACAAAAAGAGGTGAAAAACAACAAGCAAACAAGCTGTAAATCACTGAGAACAACGTCTAAGCTTTTGTGCCAAACTTTAATAGGTACCGCAGTTTTGAAAACTGAGAAAATATCGCAAGAACAATTCGTAACGTCACTGGAATTTAAAAGCCATTACTTGAGGAAAATTAAGCTAATTTAAGCGACAAAGCAGAGGGCGGAGAGTAACTGTTATTTTCGCTTTGCCGCCAACCCTTATCTTCAAAAGGCCTCTAAACTCGAACGCCACATCGTCAGTACATATGACTTTTGGTTGAAAAAGTGACTTATAATTCTAGGTTTAAGACTTAATCGGCCCCCTAAAAAACAAACTTAAGAAAATATCGCGTTTTTTTCGGTTGAAGGGACATTTAAGGCTGAGACGTGATCTGGTGATAGTAACGTATTCGAACGCCTAACAACGAGACAATATACTATGGGTACCTTGAATAAAAGAATACTCCAAATAACGTAATTTCCGTGAAAAGGACCGCTAGGCGCGCACGAAACCATGTAGCAGTTAATCAAGTTTTTGTTCTGTTTTATGATGCGTAAATTTAGCAAATTGGTTTATTGTTTCAAATTAGGCTATCGAAAAGTCTGCCACGTTTGCTGGAAGAACCCATTTGCTCCAAATCGGGTTTATTTCTAGACCTCGCTATGACCAGACGATTTGTCACTCTAAGCCTTAAAGAGGCTGTGTCACGGCAGTCAAGTTCATCTTGTTAAATTTTGCCAATTTAACTCGCCCTCAATCGCTATGGAACTTAAAGTAAGCAAAGAAATTACATGTAAATGACAAAATCAGAGATCCGAGACAAACAAATATGTCTCCAGAACATTATTTTTTGAAGTTGCAAGCAGCAGGGAACAACTTTGAAAAATTGTTAGACTGAACAGTTTTCAAAAACCCTAATCTCAATCCGTTTCAGTCTTCTTCAGTTTTGCCCATCCGTGGCATCTGTTGTTTCTGTTATGCTGTTTTAACCTTCCTTTAAAGTTTTAAGCAGTTATTTTTATGCTTCTCTTAATTTAAAGTAATTTCCTAATTTGGCTGAATTTCGTGACACAACTCCTTTAAAACTGTGGACAGAGTCCTTTGGTGTTAAAATTCAGATGAAACCTTTTTGACATAACTTTATCATAGAACTATTTATTTCGTAGGATTTTAGAAAAAGAAATATGACCTCTTTGTGACTGATTTTTTTTCTCTGGCCACCATTAGTCAAAAGGTTTAGGAGAAACTTAATTGAGGTGGTTGCCCCAAAAAATTACGGTACAAGGTGACAAGCATTTGCGAAAATCAGGAAAATGTGTCGGCCACTTTGGTTTCATTAATCTAAGCGCAATAAGTGAGCTAAAGTACCGAAACTTTCCGACCCGCTGGATGTAAAATTTACGAGCCGGTTTTCTTCTAAAACTAACGCTACTGAAGGCGAGCGTCACTAATGTCCTAAATACATCTGCATACTAAAATGCGCGACTTGAGTCTTAAAAATTAATTTTTGCTGTGAGCTGTGCTATTTTTCATTGAGTCTGTGCAGGTACACAGCTTCAACTGAATACCAAGAAATTTTGAGCTTAGGCAGCTACTTGTAGCTGTCTTTCTTTCTTTATTTCCTGCTTTAAGATTAAACGATCTGCGAGAGACGGCCAATACGAACATTTATGCGACTCTGTCTATCTCCATTATCCTCACACATCGTCTTAAGTTTCGGAAAACATAATCTGTGACCACGGAGACCCAATACCACCAGGATAAACTCATAGATTTGTAGAGTACTCAAGTTTTCGACAACTCGCAGAACACTAAACTAACCACGTAACCTTAAAATCCTCTTACAGCCTAAGTCCTTTTTTTCTTTTTCGTCTAGCTTTTCGCAAAAACGACAGTTTGAAGCTTCTTAAGCCGTTTTGGGTCACTGTCTAGACAAAAGTATCCCAAACCTTGCTTGAGTGCATTTTCATTTCTGGTTTAAATTCTCAGCTTTCTGGCTTTTGGCATGCACATTTATATTGAATACTTTGGACGATAAAACATAAAGCAAGTTGTAACGTTAATTTTTCACTTCTTTTAGTTTTTGGTGAGCTTTATTATATATACATTCCAGTTAGGAACGCAAATGCCGAGAAACGTGGGAATCAGAGTCAAAAGAATTCAGATAAATAGTTATGGGAAAAAGATGTGCAAAAAAAGCCCGGTGGGGGGGGGGAGGGGGGTGGTACTCCCTTATAAAAGCCATATAAGTACGTGCCGCCAACGGGTAGGGTTCTTTCGCCTTTTTGGTCTGAAAACGGGTGAAGACTTTGCTTATTTGGGCCTGGAATCGGGTATGGTTTTGAAGGGAACTACCCGGAGTGTAGGTACGTATTTAGCGTTTCAATTCAAAATGAGTAAGGAAGAAAGGGAAGTAAGCAAATTGGAAATGGATTTGACGAATGTTTTTGTTTGCGCTCTAATCTAAGTAATGATGACAAAAGGCCAGGTCTGAAAACGGATATGCAAAATGACATTTTTTGGTCTGAAACAGCCTCAGGATTTGGGGAACCGGGCGGGACACCCCCACCGAGAATTCCCAGGAGTACCCCCCCGGAAGCTGCAATCAACTTGGAATACTTCTTCCTTCTGTAAAAGTTATGGATCAAAGGTTTAAGTGATGACGTCACAAGAGGTCTAAGCATCCGGGTCTCGCAGAGTTGGCCTAGGGCCTGGTCTCAAGAGTTGAGTACTTTTTCGACGAAGCTGCAGTGCTGCTCGGCGGGAGCGCGAAGTCTAATGACCGTTCTAGCAATTACAAATAAAGCAACCTAGACACTGCATGCGAGGAGAGACCAATTCAGCCCACGCAACTCCCACTCCCGTCTCGAATGGCGCGCGGGCGTTTTGTTCCGATACTCCAGTAAAGAAAGAGGAAAAGCTCGTAGCCTAGGCTGTTAAATCTTGTTGTCGTTTATCTTGTTAATTCTGTAAATTACAAAAAACTAATTAAGAGTGTTTTTGATTGAGCATATTCCGGAATTTGGATACAAAGTAATGGAATTAACTCCAGAAATCACTTGTTTAATAGTTTACGCGCTTGCTGTGCTGCGGTAAAATCTGTAGCCCTGCTGCGGACAATATTATGCAACATTCCAGTTAGTCCAATAAAAATCCAAATGGAACTGCATTTTGAAACAATCTTTTTG